AGACGGAGTGTAAGAGCTTATAAATTAGGCGACGTCAAACAACCCAATATAAATACGTATAATATAAACAATCATATAATTCTATTAATTTTATAAATAAGAAGGCATTGTCAAGGACTTTATCTCATATTTTTAAGAATAAAATTTTCTTATAAAAGTATAAAAGATAAAAATATGAAATATTACAGTTTTATATTGCAAAAATAATCTTTGAAATTATAATCAAAAATATATTTTTGGCATATATTCGCAATAATTTGAACACACAAAATACAAACGTTTGCATGGCAAAGTCAAAATTATTTATTTAAAGTATATAAGTGAGCTTTTCAATTTTTGTCAATCTTGAAATTTTTGAAAATAAAATAGTTTTTGCTTATAATTTGGCAATTTGTTATCATTTTTTTTAATTTTGAGGTTATTTGAAAATTTTATTTTTCATTCATAATGTTTTATAATTAATTAATAATGTAAATTTTTTGTTTGTTATAAAATTTTGAAATCTGTTTCTGCAAAAACTAATCAATACGTCTTGCTTTTAACAGAAATCGAGTGTTTTTGAATTATTTTAGTCGGTTCAATATCATTTTAGATTGTGTCAAAAAAGTTTGCAAACAATATATGTTTATGTAACTCAGCTTTTAGCCAGCTGCGGTGTATTACACATCGTTCTACTGAATTTAAATATAAGTGACTATTCCAATTTATTCATTTAGTGTTTTCCTGAACCCTATGCGGTACATGTATTATTACTCATTGAATCAGTGACCTTATCTTATCAATGTAATAGTGTTACCGGGTCGGTGTTTTAAAAGTGATTAAGTAGGCGTCAGAACATTCCCGATCATAATATACAAAATCAGAATCAGATTTCTCACAATAATGAATGGCAAGTAGTGAACCATCGCAAAATAACAACCGCATTTTCCACAGAATGCTTAAGTAAATCACTAGGAGTTACCCCTCGATACTAGCTTAGCACTCCCATCACTACAAATAACTACTATGGCATTCTGAAAAGCATTTCTGAACCAGCGGCAATTAACAACTTGGCTGTTAAAGAAAGAAACACAAACATTCTTTCCAGGATGAAAATAAAAGAAAGTAAGGTGGACATTAGAAAACCTGAAATAGAATTGCTTGGTCATACAGTAACAAACATTGAAAATATGAAACATAAAATGAAGATAGCATCACTCTCCTTATATTTAGTCAAACTTGAATGCAAAAACAACAATTAAGACTTCTACAAAATCGAATTTCTAAATAGAACCAGAGTAGTTATTGCAGCCAAACGCCGCTTTAAAGAATTACCACAATGTGTCAGATGTCAAAAATACGGATACACCAAATCCTATTGTTATTGACCGCTTCGACGCGCAAGAGACCACTTTTTCAAGGACTGTGAATAAATAAACAAAATAAACGAAGGTGTTAAATGCATACTGTGTGTAAAACATTCAGCAAACTATAAAGGGTGCAAAGAATACAAGAAAGCGCTGCTACGAAAATTCCCACATTAAAGTAAAAAAAACAAATCAACGTAACGTAAATGATTCGCTAATTAAATTGGCACTTTATATGCGTTAGCGACCTGATCGTAACTATAGACGTAACTCCGAAACACAAAAAGTCCGAATAACTCAACTAACCGACTTGTTAAATAACCAGCAAAGTGATATTAATAAATTAAAATCAATGATGAAAACACTCGTCGAAAATCAGCCTTATGCTCAACCTTTTAACGACCGTAATTAAATATTGATCCTCCTAATGGCTTCATTACTTATAGGATTATTGAACGCCAATGGTTTAGTGCGGCATCGTCTAGAACTTCATAATTTTTTAACACAACAAAGGATAGATATAATGCTAATCTCTGAGACACACTTTACTAAGACAAGATTAGTGAAAATACCGAATTTTACTATATAAATTTCAAATCATGCAGACTAATATAAGATGGTACTAAAACATACCAATTGGACAACTTAACTGGAGAGCCGACCTACTAGACAAGAAATCTAAAGAAGATTCTAGACCTTCTAGATTTTTGTATTGTGAGAGGCATTACGAATTGTTATCTTAAAGCTTAATCATGTCTCGATTTTAGTTCCGACCATTCTGCCATCCTTATTACATACACTGGACTGCCATAAGTACACTAACTACCAAACCTTTTCAAATTTATGAACTGGGAAGGATTTTGAAATGGTATTGAAGAAAACCTCGTGTGCAGTCTACCACTTAAGAATGAAGAGAAACTAAATTATGCAATTAACTACTTTACCAAAACCATAAAAGATGTAGCGGAATTTAGTTCTACTTGAATGTCAAACAAGAGCTTTGAGCAATATCCGAAAAGCATCAAACTTATCATAAAACAGAATCAAAAAATTAGAAAAAAATGTCAACAAACGCGTGCCCCGTGTGACAAAGCTAACCTTAATAAAATAACCAAGCATCTTAAGGAAAAACTCGTAGTTTACAGGTACCAATCATTTAATAATTTTGTATCTAACTTATCGCTCAATGATCACTTGCTTTGGAAAACTACTAAACACTTCAAGACATGCACCATTCTAGGGCTAGGAATAATATTGGAAAAGTTGATCTTTTGCAAGTACTTTGAAACAGTATTTACTCCACGTTTATCAACTGTAAATCCGTATGAGGATGAAACAGACTAAATGAAAGAAAAATAAAAAAATAGATTATCAAAATTTTAGCATGAAATTTGTGGAGCAGCTTCTGGTAAATCCCCCGATTTTGACAACGTTCTTTTCACATTTCTCGACTGCAATTGAACGTCCAGTGAGATCCGGGGTACCTCAGGGTAGGGTTTGCGGTCGGATTTTATACCTGATGTATACAGCAGATTTTTCACAATTTGCGAAAACCACTATTGCAATATGGCACAAAGACCCAGTACAGCTTACACATCCAATCACATATATTAAAGATTGAACATTGGTTTAAACTTTGGAGATTCATTGTTAACAGATAGCATCGCTTTAAAATATCTAATATTAATTTGATGTGCATATGCCTAATAATTAGGTTTGATCGCCAAATAACATTTTATTGTATCTCTGAAATTGCTAAACCTGCATTTGCAAACATTTTATTATTTGTTCATTTTGCCAATACAAGTTGAATGTTTTTTGAATCATTCAAGCTGAACGCTTCGTTTTCTTAAAAACTGAATTACCATTTTTGACACTTTTTTACCATATCTTTGCAACGGCTGGACCTGCCTATGCCATAATCTAATCAACATGTCTCCCTATCAACATGAATCGATTTTTTTTTAAATCATTCCATTCGGTTGATCAGTGTTCTCGAAATTGTCTCCTCACCCGCACACGAATAAGCACGCACATACAGATACACACATACACATAGATGAATCAATTTTTTCTAAGGTATGCCAAAATGTTTACGAATATTTGAAATATAAAGATCTATACAAATTGTCATTTTCGATTTCAGCGCGAATACTATTAGGGCAGTGTGGGGCTTAAAATTCCGCGGATAAAAAGGTTCACCACCGATATCTTAAAAACATGTAAAGTTAAGAATTTTTTAACAACAATATTTAAAAGTAGAGCCATTACTTTGATTCTTACGACGTCGCATCGGACGAAAACCGTCAATTTTTGAAAATCCATAACAAAAGTAATTTCCTTCATTGTTAACTGTTTTGGTTGTGAGCACTGTTGTTTAGTTTAAGAAACCTTAATATATTTTAGTCTACTTAATTTAATTGATTTATAAGATGTATTGTTAAGTTCAACTTAGATTAAACAGTTTTTTTTAATAACCTCTCTCGACCTGGAAATGGTGTAAACAACAAAAAACTAGTGGTGTATGGCATCGTGCCTTAAGGCAAATTGCTGGAACTTTCTGTACCGTAATGAAATATTAGAGAAATTTTAAACGTTTTCAAATATATTATTACAAATACTGTAACTTTCATTATTTTTGCTATCTTGTTGTATCTGAGCAAATCAAATGTAAATCATAAATCAATTTATCTCCAGAACATTAACAATTGTCATTTCATTTAGAATTCAATTTCAAAAAAATAGTTGCCTAATTTGCACAAAATTGAAAAAGTGCTCCTGTATAGTCACAGTCTAAACGCATTTGGAAATAATTCTGTGCGACATTTTCACTCCAAAACGCACTTGGATAATCATTTGTACCAGAGTGGCGCTTAGACTGTGCTTAGCCTGGGTAATTTTTTGAATTTTTAATCCAAAATTACAAAAATATTATATAGAAAATAAAAAAAGATGTAATAATTTTTCATCCTCAAAGCAATTGTTTTGTCAATACAAGCAGAAAGTTTTTTAGATCATTCAAATCGGGAGTCGAGAAGTGCAAAAAATGTCATTTTTGATTCTTGGCCCATTACTATAACGACCCTACGGGAAGTTAATAAGAAAATATAAAACTTTAGTAAATATAAAAAACAATAAGTTAAAAAATCAATTTTCCAAGTTAAATAAATAGTTATTCCAACTATGCTGATGATTATTTTTGACGAAATACTAGATCAATGTTATATGCAGTTTTATTTCTGTAAAAATGCACCTAGGATATATATATATATATATATATCTATATATATATATATATATATATATCTATATATATATATATATATATATATAATATCGTAATATCTCCATAAGATCAAAAATAAAACATGGAACTGTTTCCTTTTTGCTTGTCCCATTTTACACCGCTTATGGGGTAAAGAGAACCAGGTGATAACAGTTTGAAAAACAGTGAAAAACACATTTCTAATATGATAAATTAGTTGAGAGTTGAATTGAACATAATCAGATAGTTGTTTATTTTTAATAGGTTTGGTTATCACAATAATAATTGCTCTAACTCAATTTAACCATTGTGCCCCGCCCTACCCTGAATTACCCTACGAGAAGTTAATTACTCTGCGGGAAGTTGAAAATAATTTAAATCAATTTCAGACCAGAAGGATATGCGTTACCGCTAGACTATTTGAAATTAGCCGCCGAATGCAGTCGCTGCGATTCCCGGACAGTACTTCGTGAGGGCTGCGATGATTCAGCACTACATCAGGCCGGATCTGAAAACAGCAACGCACCCGTATGGATTTGCAAACCTGTGGGACGAAGCCAGGGAAAAGGCATCTTTCTGTTCAGAGTAAGTTTCATCAAGATTATTAAGAACTTTCGTCTAATTTAATGTAAAAATATCATTTTTTGGTTAACGTGCAAGTAATTTATTAACAGAATTTATTATATAATTCCTAGTGTTGTAGCATAAATTTGATATAGAGCGGGTCGGGGCATAAAGGTTTAATTTGACCTTCAGTATTAATACAGTCTAAACAAGTGATTCCCAACTTTTTATCGGCCACGCCCCACCTTAAGGTTTCTCAAAATGTCATGCCTCCCATGCAAAATTTTTAACTTCTAATCATTATTTTGTTCTTGAAAAAATGTAAATGTTAAGAAGAAATCACTATTAGATTGTTATCAATATAATTAAAACTAAAATTATAAAATAGGTAAAACTTCTAAATAAGTAATAAAAGCTGAAATTTCAAGTTAATTTTATTCCTGATATTTTTGAACTTCCCGTAGAGCAAGTTATAGTAATCGCAAAAAAATCGAAATTGAAAATTTTTTATATACTTACGTTTCAAAGGTTTTTGAACATGTCATGCCTTGGATGTATGTGTGTGTGTGTGTTTGAGTGTGCGTGTGTGTGTATGAGCGGATGCAAATTTTCGTCGACGATTTTGGGAACATCCATTAACCGATTTGAATAATTCAAAAAAAAAATCAATTTGTACTGATAAGGAGACATGCTGATTAGTTTTAGGCGAAGATTGGTTTAGCGGTTCCGAAGATACGGGGCAAAAAGTGTCGAAGACGGCAACTCAGTTTTTAAGAGAACGGAGCGTCCGATTTCAGTAATTCAAAAAACAATTCACTTGTATTGACAAGATAAAGAATTGATTAAATTTTGTGAAGGCAGATCTTGCAATTATGGACTCTTAATAAAAATAAGTTAAAAAAGTCAAAAATTTGGCGGTCAAAAATTTTTATTGGCATATGTACATCAAATTATCAGATATTTTATATAGATTGTAATAATATGTACACATTTTGTGTAATTTTTTTGGGTTTCATACCAAGATTGTTAATTTTAAAGTTTACGCATGTGGTTCAAACAAATGTCCTCAACATTTTCGAGAGTATGAAATGACTAATTTTAATAATTTAAAAAACATTCGATTCGTATTGATAGAGAGACGTGTTGATTAATTTTCGGCGAAGGCAGGTCTAGCCGTTTTGATGATACGGGGCAAAACGTGAAAAAAACGGTATCTCAGTTTTTAAGAGAACGGAGCTTTCGATTTTAATAATTTAAAAAGCATTTTACTTGTATTGACAAGATGAACTACTGATTAAATTTTTGGGTAGGCAGGTACAGCGGTTATCTACTTGCAATAAAAATAAGTTAAAAAAATGTCATTTGGCGGTCAAAAATGTTTATTAGACATATGCACATTAAATTATCAGATATTTTATAGAGATTTTAATAATGTGTACACATTTTGTGTGATTTTTTTTGGGTTTCGTGCCAAAATTTTTAATGTTAAAGTTTATTTATATGGTTCAAACAAATGTTCTCGACATCTTCGACAGTATGGAATAACCGATTTGTATGATTGAAAAATCATTCGTTTCGTACACGATCGCGAGGCGTTTATGCAAAAGGCAATTTTTCCGTTTCGGAGATATGGAGCGCAAAAGGTGTAAAAACGATTATGAAATTTTAGAGAGAACGGGTCATCCGATTAGATTAATTCAAAAAACATTTTGCTTGAGTAGACGGTGTGCAAAAAATGGATTTACAGAAAATTTAGTAATTTTGAAAAAATTTTTAAAAAAAAAACAAAATTTTCAAAAAAAAATAAAGATTCAAATAATTCAAATTTTCGAAATTTTTGATCATTTAAAAAAGAACTAAATTTTGGAAAAAATTAAGAAAAAAGATTTCTCACAAAAAATTGAGAATATTTGAAATTTTCAATAAAAATCGAATACTTTCAAAAAATTAAATTCCCAAAAAATTTAGAAAAAACGTTTTTTTAAATTCCAAAAAATTTCAAACTTCTAAAAAATATTCAAAATTTAGAAAAAAATTCTAAACTATCAAAAAAATCAAATTAAAAAAAAATTGACAATTTTTTTGTAAACATACATAAGTTGTTAGCAGAGCAGTTAGTTCTTAGCTCGTAGCGCAATTTAGTAAGCACTTATGAATTTACAGTAAGTATTTATAATAATCTATTTGAAATTATTCAAAACAATGATTGATTATCATTTTCGAATGATTAATAACGATGCGGGAAGAACCAGCAATTTGCCTTAAAGCACAATGCCATGCACCCCACTCGTTAAATTTAATAATTGCGATTCTGAAGCTTGGGTCATGCTGCACAAAGAATTTATATTAGGTTTTCATTTACTGAGCTTTAATTTCAAGCGGTTTTGTTGTGTTATTTTAGACCTATTTCTTTTTTATTAATAAATTATAGCTATTTCTTGTACTATTCGGGCATTTGGTTTCCGTTCCTTTATAAATCCTTTTCTTGACTCTACTCAGCCTGTATAAAATGCTAATTGGGGTAACATGGAACAAAATTATATCCATTTTCTTTGTTTTGTTAAATCAAAACTTGTAGTTATAATGCTGGAAACTAAGTTAATGCGGATTTTTTTTTTTAATTAAAGACAATTTTTGCATGGAATTAAATAATTTTGGTCTGTAATGTATTGCCCATTTTGATCGATAGCCTTCTGTCACCTTTCATGCAGAATCATTATCTCACGTTTAAAAATATTTTACAACGTTTTTATGAGCAAAAAACTGAATCAGGTACAATACCATCATAATTATTATTTTTAAATTCAAGGAGTTTTTTTTTTAAATTAAAACAAAAAGTAATTAGTTGGTCCATGCTTAGGATTACATGGTAGATGTGGAAAAACATCTAACCAAGCTCCAATAAGTTTTAAACATAAACAAATTATTTGTGTTGATTATTAGATTTTGTAGTATTAGTCCGCGCTTTTAGTAACTACAAGATTGCGTGTTTGCATTATAATTATTTTAATTACCAATAGGGGTCGTACCAGTTTTTTTTAAATAACATACTTTGAGATCCAATTTATATTTTTACCGAATCAAGTAAAAATAACTCTATAATTATTGTTCATCTTTTTACAATAAACAATTTTCTTGAAAAAGACTTGTGTATCATCTTACCCAGTGCTTGGGGCTAGTTGTAACATCTACCGGAACAAGCTATATTTTTAAATTTAAGAAATTTGACTTGTAATAATGTAATTATTTTCATACATGAGCGCAAACTATAATGAAAAATATATAATAAAATGTTTAATGTCTCCTGTGATATAAATTTTTATCATTAATCACCGTAAACTACGATTGATACCATAATACAAATAAAAAATATGGTGTCTTCCATTACACAATTCAAATGAGCGCCAATTTTACTATTCATTCTATTGAATCTTCTTCACTTGAATCTGTATATAGTTATTTTATGTTACAACTAGGATAGTATATAGTATCTGTATAGTATACAGTAGTCTGTATATAGTTATTTTATGTTAGCCCCAAGGATTTGTTTTAACTTACCCTAGGTGTAATTTTTTTACATGAATCAAGATAATTATTTATACAATATAGCAATCACATAAATTGTTGCATATTATCAAAGGTTGATCAATTTTAAACAAAATAAAATATAAAATAATTTTAATTATGCAATTATAATAACGCAAACCAAAATTGTCTGATAGTTCAATTATACATTAGATGTCGAATGACGGGTCTGCACAGTTCCGTTTTGCGTTGGCCTGCGGGGCAGTAGCAAAAGATTTTACATGCCCAATGAAGACAAATAATAATATAATATCATTAAAAATTCTATTGGAAAACGCACCTAGCTCGATCTGAATCGATCATTGCTTTGATTAGATTGTCCACAATTTCAACTAGACGTTCAGGGCGTTTTTACGGCTTCGTCACCATAAACAGTACCCTATCTTTGGTAGCTGAAGATATGTTTTTTTCTATTAAAAAAATAAAAATGCATAGAGGGACAAAAATGTTTGTTTTGATTTTCCTTCTTCCAACGAACGCCAACCGATTAAAAAAGTATTTTTTATTATGTAATTGACAGCTGAATTGGTTGCTATACAACTAACAATAAGTTTTTCAGTCATAATTAGTGATTATGTAAAACTTTGTTCACGTTAATCTTTGCAATTAACTTTTGTAAAAATATAAATTATATATTTCAAGTCGACTCTTGTCACTAGCATAAAACACTTGTGCCAAGCGGTCAGAAACTTTATTTTCCCAATTTTTCGCTAATCTTCGTAAATTTACAAATAAAAGTCCAAAATTATTAGTGAGGTTCTATTCGAACCCTTTAAATTTTTGCATTCAGTAACATAGTCTTTCAAAATGCATAGTTTTATATGAACATTCTTATCGCATATATCATTTTCAGATATTTGATAAGTTGTAGTTTCATGAAAAAAATTCAAGTTCAAGCTGAACTTTTTATAAATCGGGCAAATGCGGGAGAAAACTCAGGCATAAATATTGCTTCTAGATAATCCAGGAAAGCAAGGTGGAAAACTACGACTTTGTTACCTCAGTTAAATTTGAGAAGCATATTTTGTTAAATGTTTAACCGATTCTACATTTAAAATTGCCTCCATAAATTTAAGATTGTGAGCCCCACGATGGGAACCACTGGTCTAAACCAAATGAACTATATCACAATAAATAATACGCATCAAACAAACAATTATCAAACTATTTTCACTAAAATTTTTTCTATCTGTTCCTAATTTTAGTAATATGGTTTGGATATTTTTCTTTCTACCCCTTAGGTAAAAGAGGACATCCATCGGGCAAACAAATACAAAATCTTATTATAAATTTTAAATGGATTTTACGAAATAATAGCAAAAGTATATAACCAATGCAAAATAAAAATTTCTTGCTCACATTTTCTACTAAGGTTATACCGTATATAATTTTGATCTAGTATTTTGTGAAAAATATTCATTAGCATAGATACATAA